CTGGGGGGGGGGGGGGGGTCGAACTTCATTCCTTACCTCATTGATGTGCTTGTAGGTCTTGATGAGGTCGACGCTGAGCTTCCGAAGAGGAGCCGTAGCAGGATCTCGAAACCTGTGGGGTATTCGAGCCTGCATGGCGTGAATGTCTGCAGGGGTTTCCTGGGGAACCCCACCGGTTCCCACACCGCCGCCGCCACCACCCCCACATACTGCAGGAGGTAGCGGTTCCTCGGCTACAAGACGACCGTAGAGAGGTGCGCCTCCTGTACCCGTTCTCCCGCTCACTGAAAAATACAAAGAATTCCCATCACTCTCTCTCTCTCTCTAGTAGATTGACTGGAGATTTACACGGCTACTGTCTACCGCTACTAGGGATACAGAAAACGAAGATAATGGTCGGTACACGAGGTAGGGGGAGGGGAGGTAGGGGAACAGGAGAGAAGGAGGTCTGGTTATATCATCCAACAAAAAGACACGGTTAACAACCCCACCGTTGGCAGAACAACTCGAATTCGTATCGAATGAAAATCCCAAAGTTCCCGGTTTGCCCGTTAATTTGACGTATGACTTGTCGTCGGGTACCCAGAGCTTGCCACTCGCGAACGCATTATCGTTATTTTAACGACTTGCCCGCCAGTGGGTTAGGGACCTCGGAGGCTGAAATAACCACAGCGAAAGGGACTCTTCTCTAGCCTACCGAACGTATACACGGGGATTAGCTAAGGAGGTAGCGAGTACCGGCGGAGACCCCGTCAATGTTTACAAGGGATACCCGGAGAACATACCTAAAAAATTAACCAAGCTCAAGACCCTCGGGTACGTTAAGGACAGTTTCTCGGTAGAACGGTGGGTAGGAGAGTCTCGGTATGCAATAATCGGTATCTTCACGTACATATATTTCTCAGGACTGTTCGGTACTCCTTTTCCTTCCGTCGGAGCCACCGACTATCGGAAAGTGGAACCCGGAGACCGGTGCACCGAGGCGAGCGAGCTCTGGTTGAAATGTAGGCCAGGGCGCGGTTGAATGAAAAAAATATCATTCATTAACACGCTCGAGTAGCGGTTCTCAATCCAGGCACTTCAGTCCCGACATCACAGAGGCTCGTTTGCGTGTCTCTGCTGCGACGAGGAGAACAGGAGAGGAGGGTGACGGCATCGATTGCCACGGGGGGGAAGGAGGGGAAAGTGCAGTGGTAGGATGGGGAGGGGGGGTGCAAGGGGAAGAGAGAAAGAGTCTACCTATACAAGGGGGATGAGGTTAAACTCGAAGCGACTCCTCCAACAGAAACCGGAAGGTGCCCCTGCACCTCTTGCCCATCCGCTATACCTCAGAGAGTCTCTTCCGCAATTCTTTCCCTGGGAAGCCTCCCGGTGCCACCTGAATAAATCCGGTATAATATTCGCCGGTTGCACCGAACCGGTCTCGTATTCGAATTCCATTGAAACAGTTGCCAAACTGGATGACAAAAACAGCGATTTAATACGAGCTGTCTCGTATCACGCGTACCAAGCCATAATAATAATATACACGAGTGTCGTACCAATCGCCAGAAGCGTACACTCCTATGGGGATCTTGCGCAGAGAGCCTAACGTATCGGGTATCGAGGATTCGTGCGCTCGTAGATTTTCTTCCTTTGGTACGTTCCAGCGAATCGGAGCGGTACGCCGAGTAGGTGCATGGCTGAGAACCGCTTTTGCGAGGTCACGAAAGCCTGACATAGGCCGCGCGATAGCCAGCACGCATTCCGCTTCATTCATGTTTCTTGATCTACCCCTTTGCTTGGCTCGGCTCGAAGCTGCCGATGAACTCAGCACAGTGTAGACCCGCGCGGTGGGTACGACGGGATATTTTTTTTTTTTCATATATACATTTTTTTCGATCTCTAGGTCGGCGCGGTTTTAACGGCTGGAAAAAAGCTGCCGAATGGACATAGAGCACAAAGGGTGAATTTCGGTAGGGGGTCCTATTTGTCGGAGCCCCGAGTGTTCTGTGTGATATGTTTTACCTGCTGTTACCCCCCCTCGGGTGGGTAAGCGAGGGTATAATAACAGGATCATAATATTCAAAATGCCCGAATCAGATGATTGATCTCCAGCCATCCGGGTATCGAGATGTTCACGGCTCCCTGAACTCTTGCGGAGATTTTTACTGATCTTCCACGTGGACCAGAATAACGCACTGATAGCGGGTTATCTGCGAAAGGGGCTTCACGACCACTAACAGGTACCGTGGAGCATTGAAGGTTTGAGGGTAGAGTGAAATATGGCAGGAGCGCAGCATCCAATCTCCGTCTCTCTTTTACTCTCTGCAGCTCTTTTCCAGGTACGTGTCGGGGGGGTCCTGCGATATTCAGTAACGAACGGATGATCCGATAAGGCCCCGGCTATACCTCGCAACCCCTGCGCACTCTGTTAACGGACTCGCCAATTAATATTTCTTCGTCTTTGCTTTTTTTTCTCCCATTAAATCTTCTTTTATCCAATTTCCCATTTTTTCTTCTTCTTCTTTTGGTAAACTCTCATCAACGTGCATTTGGCTCGATTTATCGATGCGTCTTCGCGTTTAGATTTTTTTTTTTTTTTTTTTTTTTTTTTTTTTTTTTTTTTTTTTTTTTTTTTTTTTTTTTTTTTTTTTTTTTTTTTTTTTTTTTTTTTTTTTTTTTTTTTTTTTTTTTTTTTTTTTTTTTTTTTTTTTTTTTTTTTTTTTTTTTTTTTTTTTTTTTTTTTTTTTTTTTTTTTTTTTTTTTTTTTTTTTTTTTTTTTTTTTTTTTTTTTTTTTTTTTTTTTTTTTTTTTTTTTTTTTTTTTTTTTTTTTTTTTTTTTTTTTTTTTTTTTTTTTTTTTTTTTTTTTTTTTTTTTTTTTTTTTTTTTTTTTTTTTTTTTTTTTTTTTTTTTTTTTTTTTTTTTTTTTTTTTTTTTTTTTTTTTTTTTTTTTTTTTTTTTTTTTTTTTTTTTTTTTTTTTTTTTTTTTTTTTTTTTTTTTTTTTTTTTTTTTTTTTTTTTTTTTTTTTTTTTTTTTTTTTTTTTTTTTTTTTTTTTTTTTTTTTTTTTTTTTTTTTTTTTTTTTTTTTTTTTTTTTTTTTTTTTTTTTTTTTTTTTTTTTTTTTTTTTTTTTTTTTTTTTTTTTTTTTTTTTTTTTTTTTTTTTTTTTTTTTTTTTTTTTTTTTTTTTTTTTTTTTTTTTTTTTTTTTTTTTTTTTTTTTTTGGTAATATCCCCTTCCATGCCGATTATCTTCTTCCTCCTCTCGATTTCGCTCGCCAGCTTCGTTCAACCGGTACAGACAACGTAACACGTGTCACCGCTCATAATTGACTCTGGGCATCCATTACATCAACCTACATCCGGAAATGCCGAAGCTTCCCACGACGAGTTACTCGCAGGAGACGCCCGTCTGTCGTGTGAATGCTTCGAGGAATGGAGAAGCAGACACCCGAGTACTCGGGACCTAATAGGCCAAGGAATGTCGCGAAACGTCGTAGGCACTTTCCATTCAAATTGTCAGAATCATTTTCCACCCACGAATTCCGAGAGTCCAAATTTCTCGAAATTTACTTAAAAAGAAATTTTTTTCCTTAATCCAGTATCCTGTCCCAGTTAATTATGACTTCTCGAATTATGTAGAATCATGGAAGAGGGGGGGAGGGGGGGGATAACGAATGGGAATGATCTAATTTTAGATCCTATACAGATACACGTAGACGAGATTCAACGGAATGAAGTTTCTGGTATATACAAAGTCCTTGGAACCGAAACCAATCGATTTCTCAACTGGTACCTGTTGGAAGGGCTATGACACCGTAACGTCAAGTCTCGGTATCCTATTTCCACTAGTTTGTTTAGCGTAATATCGATGGGCAAAATCGACACGACGATTCCTCGTGACGTCCATTGTGTTTCGACGAATGAAATAATAGAAAAAAAACTTTTTACCCCATATATACGATCGTTCTGATAGTTTACGAGGAGTTGACAGGAACAGCCTAACTTTTGCGTCTGACGATACATTCTTTCGGGTATATGATGCACGTACGTCAAGCGATACGCGAGTAGTGCAAAATGAATTTGGATGCGAAGGATGTGTGCAGTTGAATTTTTTGTGATTATTACAAGAATCACGCACAAGTTGCGTAGCCATGCGTCAGAGATCCTTGGAACTGATGACAGTGTATTTAAAAAAAAAAAAAAA